CCCCCCCCCCGCCCCCCATCAACAGCAGGGACAGCAGAACTGTTCCTCCTTGCTCCTCTCAGATCCTGTCCTTTGGCATCCTCGAGCATGTATGGGACACCAACTGTATACAACAACATGGATGGGATACTTGCGGCATCCAAGTCGCTGGGCTAGGGACAGAGCCCCAGAGAGCTGCAGGAGCTATGATGGAGGAATATGAGGGAATAAGCTCAAAGCAGAAAGTGGATTCAGGGGCAGGGAAGGGACAGGAAGCAAGACTTTCCACAGAGGCGCACGTATTTGCCTCCTCCTGTCTTTCCCAGCTCACTCCCTGCGGTCAAGACCCCAACCACCCCTTCCTTCACCCAGGTCTGTGTATGACCCGCTCATGGTACAGGACTTTCACGCCTCTTTACCCCCTTACCTAGCTTAGGACTGCTCGGGAGCCGTGCTCAGCACCAAGCCATACATCTTGGTGACAGCGCAGCCCCAGGCACCCTTCCTGCTGCTCTGCGGCAGCAAGGGGGTGTCTCTCAACAGCCCCAGTGACCACGCACAGTCCTCTGCTCTGTCTCCCCCCCACCTTCCCCTGGACCCTCCCTTGCACTTTCTCCTCCCACTTCCCACAAGGGGCCCATCCCTCCAGTTAGCTAGGGACCAGATTCCACTTCACTGGCAAGACAGAAGCAGCCCCAGGAGACCGTCCCACCTCAGCATCCAGCAGCCTCCCAAGTTCAGGGCCATATCCCGGCCCCACCACGTGGAGGGACCTCTGTGCTTTGGGGTAAAGCAAACCCTCCACTCTAGGTGCCAGAGCCCGGCCCTCACCCCCGCTCCCCAATCCCAGTCCCCCTCTCCAGTGGTCTTCCTGCCATTATTTCTCCCTCCACCTAGACCCTCTCCCCCCACTTCTCCACTCCCCTTTACGATGCCAGGTCCTCTTCCTCTCCTCTCTCCTGAATCCCACTCCGGTCCAGTCTGGCTTTCCCGATCACCACTGCACCAAAGAAACCCCTTTCGGCAAAACCGCCGAGATCTCCCCGCCCCAAAGCCCACCAACCAATTCTTAGTCCTCACTCTGAGCACAGCACTTGCTGGCACCCTCCTCCCTAAAACACCCTGTGTCCTCCTGGCCGGCTGCCCCCTTGGTGGCTGAGAATGGGCTGCCTTGCAGATCCATTAGCTGGTAAAGCCTGAGCACCTCCAGGCACCTCGCGCATCTCATATTCCCACCTCACTGCCCTCACTCCTGTTCCTGCCACCGTGACCACTTTTGCTGTCCCTCCAACCAGCAGGCATGTGCCTGCACCTGCCCTCCTTCCCAGCTCCACTCAGCCCAGCACCTCCCTTGGACCAGGAAGCCACCCACATCCTGTTCTATCCACAAGGTCCAACACACCCCATGTCTCCTTACTTCTCCATCTGATGCGCAGCCAGTCTGGTTTGCTCAAGGCTAAATGCCACTGCCCAGTAGGGAGTAGGTGCTCAGCCAGGCATCCAGTGCACGATTCTACACTTTTTCTAGGTACACCCAGAGCTCAGAGATGTCCCTTTTTACTGAAGAGACCCAGAAAGAGTGACACGATTAACGTCACACAGTTTGACAACTTGGTTAAGTGACACGGTGATCTCAACCGGATCTTCATGCCAGGATTTCATCTTTCACTGGGGCTGGAGATGCGGCCACAACTCTGAGTGGAAAGGAGGTACATCCAGAGTTCATGGGGAGCATGGAGCTGGACGAGGAGCTAGTGGTTGGCCCGAGTGAGCCCTGGATATGGAAGAGCCACGCCTGCGGGGTAAGCGGGCTCAGACAATCGGGCAGGAGGCATTAAGGGTCAAGGCCAAGACCAGGCAGGGGCCGGGCGAGAAAATCAAGATACACCAAGGGTCTGCCGCTGGACGTCAAGTGAGGATCAGGGCAAAGAACACCCCACCCCCACCCCCACCCCCTCTAAGCACA